TCTGGATATTGTTTTCTCCTCCCTAAGCTCACACAAGGGGAAAAAAAATGTGTTTTTTTCTGGGGTTAGATCTGATAATCAAACTGGAAGGGCCAGGCTGCTGTTTGGGGCACTTCAAGAAGCCCGTAGGGTTTCTCCTTAATGACATACCAGTATTTAGATAAGCCAAGCAGAAATCCTTCATTCAAGAAAGATGTTTTCCAGTGCAAAATGTCACTTTCTTAAAAAGAGCTTACAAGAAGTCCCGCTGTTGAATTGAAGGCTGTGGCTAACATCAAAATATCCACAGCTTCAACAGCGGTTATCAGCTGGTGAGTGACAGTGGACGTTGTTCCAGAGCAAATTCATTTTAATATAAGCTAAAAAAAAAATCTTTTAATCATAGCAAATGTTGCAATTTTATCTGACAGTGACACTTTGATGAGGCAAAAAAAAAAAAAACCCACACAGAATTTTATTATGTGCAAAATCTGGATCCTTTTTGATGCCACTTCAGAGCAGTAAAACACACACCAGAGACTGGAGTGACCATGATGTGGGATGCAGGGCCTGAACAGGGACTGGTCCCTGGCTCATCCTGCATAGTTCTGTCCCATCACAGTCCCTTGCTTCCTTAAGGCTTGGGTACTGCACAGCGCTGTGGCATTTCTGTTTGCTTGGGTAAGATCTCTTCGACTGCACCACTTACTCGCAACCACAGAGCCAGTGCCTCTCTATAGTGCTGACATCTGTGGCACGAGCTTCTTCCAGCCTCAGCAGGCACCCAGCACAGTGTAAGTGCAACCTCAGCCAGTGAGGCTGCCTGCTGCCAAGCAAATCACGGTGAACACTGGGACCAGCCTGGCTCTGAGTGATGCCATAGTCAAAGCCCTCATGCAGTGGCTCCCCGTGCCACTGAGGGGGACAATGAGCTGCAACCAGCAGCTGCCATGGAGTCACTCTTAACGTGGTTTAGCTGTGCTTGGAGCGAAGACAGTAACACAGCCACCCTGGGTCTTTCCCTGCTGCCTGTCAGCCAGAATGTGACAGCCTGTCCTCAGCAGGGTCAGCTGGGGCATGGCCCATCACCTAGGCCTGCATGAAGGGAAAACCCTCAAACACAGGCAGAGCCTCAGCACCAGCTCTCCTGCAGTTTGTCTAGCAGGACTTGCCCACACCCGCATGGGGTCTCTGCCACCCCACAACAGTGCTTGTCCAATTACAGCCACCCTGGCCCAGGCACAGTGCAGAAGGTGTGTGGCTCGTCTCTGCTCCCACCTCCTGCTCCACCTCAACCAGGATATTCCCTGGGTATCCCAGCCAAGGTGTGGGCTCACGATTCACCCTGAAAGTCTGCCACCTGCCTGTCCTGACCTCAGCTGCCTGGGTGACTATGGAAATGTGCATCTAAGTGCCTTGTTTAACACCCACAGCTCGGAGCTGGGAACAGGAGACCTTGCTCCTCTCCTTGCTGTCCACAAGGCAAGGGCCTTAACTCTGCTGACCAGACCCACCTGCTCCCTCAGCCCAGGGCTATATTTAAGCTCAGCCCTGAGCCTTATTTCTTGCCCCCTTGAGCTGTGTCAGAGGTGTGCCTGGCTCCGGCTCCTGTTCCTGGATGCACTTCGGGCTTGCAGCAAGCCAGCTTCTACATCTCAGCGTGTGAGTAACTGAGAGCTGAAAGTCTGCTGGAAACTGTGTATCCCTGCAAAGCTTGGCCTTGCTTTTTACTAGCTTGCAGTAGAAATTGAAAGAAAAATGTACAGCCTAAAATTTCAAAGGATAAGATTCTTGAACGATGTTTGCCTGAACTTGGGCTGATCAGAGACCCCTGGATGGACTCAAGCAGGGCCGCCAGGCTCCTTCCCACTGCCTGGCACTGATATGTCCACTAGCCTACCTTGTGCCTCAGTGGGGGGGCAGGAAACGGGTAGCCACAGAGGATGGAGGTAGTTTAGTCCTTCACAGGCTGCTTTTCACAAAGGAGCTGGGGGGAGGCTCTGCAATTAGCACAGAGATGCTTCACCCAAATTTGGGGGTAGCCCAGAGCCTGACTGCCCTGTCTCCCAGCAGCTGTGGTGCAGTGCCTGCTCTTTGCAAGCTCAGCACTTTCTGTGGGCTGTGCCAGTTGCCCTCGGGGTCAGAGGGTGAGTCCAGGCCATTTATTTGCTAGCAGAGATGTCACCAGGGTGTTCTGTGAGTGTCAGGTCAGTGCCTGCCAGCTCCATGGCTGCTCTGAAAAGCCCCTTTGACACCGAGGTGCTGTTTGCAGGGTGCTTTGCCAGCCGGCTGGGCACCTCCTGGTGTGGGGAGCGAGTGACAGTGGTGGGTGGGTGAGAAGTGTTGGTGGTTCTCACAGCTCCAGGGCTGGGAAGGACAGCAGGGCCATGGGACCACATGGGAAGCCCCCGCAGCTTCGCGCTCAGCTGCTGAGCTATTGGGAATACAGTTATTTTTTCTCATTAATCTTCAGTAATAAAGTCAGCGTCAAAATCCCAGGGGAACTCAGATCTGTGGGATCAGGTGGTTTGTGCAAATGCTGTCCAGCAGACAGACACTCCTACGTGCTCCTCTCCCAGCTCTGGCTGAGCTGCACGCCCCTGGAAAGCAGGCAGCTGCTCCAGGCGTGCGGGGGGCATGGCTCCAGCACTGCAGACTTCCCACTGCTCGGAGGAGCACAGAGCTTTGCCCTGAGAGACTCCACAGAGGAACTGGGTCTACCCCCTAAAGACTTTAACTTACTTCATACCTCTTTCAGCCCTGCATGGGCAAATCCCCTGCTCCTGTGGCTCTGCTCAGTGACTGATGCTCTGTAATTTCTTCCAGAGCCCTAGGGTGGAGATTTAATGAATGCACAGAACAAGTTGTGGAAACTGAGGTCCAGAATGACTGATGAAACTCCATGCAAAGTGATAAAGAAGCTAAACTGGGATATAATGTGCTGGGATTGCAGTTGTGCATTTCAGCAGAGACTTTTCTGGAATACTGAGAAAGAAACCGTATACCACTGGGCAGAAACAAGGGTTACACAGAAACAGCTTGTATTTTCCATGGACCTTTGTCCAGTAAGAAATGTTTGGTTTGTGTGTTTCAAGGCTTTAAAGCGCTAAGAAAATATTTCCAATATGAAACTACCCAGACCTTTCTTTTCTTCCCACGACAGCTGAATTTCTTTAAGAGCTCTTCTGGGAGAGCTCTTTGGAGACCCAAGTGCACTCTGAGGACCAAGTTGTCTTGTGTACACAATGGCTGCCTTCCCCCAAGAGCGCTCTAGGTTTGTGCCTTGCAACTGCCCCCTCAAAAAACATGTGGAATCTCCCATTACACCAGATTTATCCTAGGCCATGTTATTTCAAGACTTTATTATCCTAACAACTTGCCTTTTATAGAAGGCAGCCTCACTGCTTTGTGGTTTCTTAGTTCCCACTGGATCTTCTTAAAAATTAGCATCATATGTAGCAACACTGACTTTCTGGTTGAGGGATCGCTGTAATTCTCACCCAGGCATGTGTTTGGCAGTTTGCACTCCTTCCAGGAGATTTCTAACCATGTGTTCTAAAAGTGGGGTTTAAAGCAATTATTCTCCCCCTCCCCCCTAAATGCTTTGTCCCCTAAGGCATAATGCTGGTGTGAGCTCTTGCAGAGCAAAGGCCGCTGCAAGTAACTCACTAAGCCTTTCTGTGATGTCTCTTTCCTTCTTACAGAGCCAGATCATGTTCCGCCCCTGGGGCCTTTAGGATGCTTTCTTCAAATCTTCTGTGGCTTGCCTTTCAAGCTTCACTTCCTTTAAGGTCTACCACTTCAGGTGTTCATTTTCACTCCTCTGTGTAAGCACATCACCTTCTTTCAAGAATCTCTTTGAGTGCTGGCATGCTTTTATACCTATGTAATCCAATGCTGCACGTGTACACAGACTTCGTGCTGCGTAAACTTAACACCCCTCAGATGCTTGTGTGATGCTCCTGACCAGCCTACCTCGTATTTCCCTTTTGACACTAAATATTATTCTAAAAGTATTGAGTTTGCTCCCATCAGTAACTATGGCTCCATGGCCTCTCATTTGTCACCTCTGGACTAAGGAGTGCATTAACGCACTCCATTAACACACAGTTTGAGGCTATACCAGCCAACTACTTCCACCAAGCTTCTGAGGTCCAGCCCCATGAGTAAAGTGTTTGTGTAAGAGGAAGGAGAAGAGTCAGGCTCACTCCACTCACCACAGCCAAGTCACTGACACAGGAGCCATGGGTGAGGTTGAACAGAAAATCCTGGAAAGCAACACTACCCGGAGCACTGGGACTCTGGCCAGCTGGGAATTCGGGAGTCACGTAAGACCCATGTCCCAGCTGCAGAGCCACTGAGTTCCTCGACCCTGAGAGCGGTCAGGGATGAGGCTGGAACACGGCACTGTTCCTTGTGCCTGCTCTGTGCCCACAGAAGGGACCTGCTCCTCTTCCAGGACAGCATGGGGCAGGGGCAAACCTAGCCTGAGACATGCATGGGGCTGGCCTCACCTCTTGCACATGCAGAGCACCCTCAGGAACATAGGGCTGAGCTCTGGTTCATTTGTGTCTGTAAGGAAAGCCCAGAGAAGCCTGCTGGGTACAGGCATTTTCAAGTCAATGCAAGTATTTGCATAGTGTTTATGCTCCTACAGGTACTAAAGTGACAGTGTGGTTCTAAACAGCAGCATCCCCGTAACAGTCCCTGTGCACCCACAGCAGATCAGTGGGGACAGTGAGGCAGAGCCACCACCCTACGCACCTCACCAAATACTGTTGAGCTTCCGGGAGCTCCACTATTCAAGTGGCACTGGTGCCACCGTGTGCTCTGTGGAGTGCAGCCTCAGCACAGGCAGCTGTGCACTGTCTCTGCTTTCCTGTGGCTGTCTGCAGCATGGCCACCTGCCTGTGTGTGCTCCCCGAAGTGTCACCAAAGGCACAATTTGTGAACAGATGCAGTTCAATTGACGAGGTGACAGACACAATTTCAACCCAAAGATGGCACAAACAGACCAGACCAGTCACCAGGATTTTATTTAATAAATAAAATTTGACCATATTGCACCTTTTTTACCCAGGTTTGCATGCTGGATCCCAGCAGAAGAGCACAGTTTCTTGTCACCCACCAACCAGCACATGCATTTTTGATCAGTCGACAGAACCAGCTGACATGCAAAGAAGTGCATCTCTACCTCCACGATGGCCATGCAAGCACCCTGCTCCTCTCCCACATGTGCACTCATCCTTGGCCCAGAAGAGCATCTGAACAGTGAATCAAGCTCTTTCCTGCCCATCCCTTTTACTCTATGTGCCCTGCTGTGGCACTGCCTTTCCCAGCTTATGGATGTCCCCATTCTCCAGCACCTCCACCTTCCCCTTGCCTGGCTGCAGCACACTGGCCACCATAGCCCTGGCCACCATTTCCACAGGTACTGAGTAAGCAGTAGGGAGGACCCAAGCCACAACACCCAGAAACTGCTGAACTATCCACTCCATGGGCCGGGATTCCTGGCGTTTGCACAGCAGCACCCTGCAGAGCGAGCGGGTAAGGTGGGTCAGACTGAAGCCATCCCTCAGGATAAAGCTGGAGACTAGGTTCTCCAGCTGTGCTAGAGGCCCAGCCCAGCTTGCTAAACCCACATGAAGCTTTGGCAGGGTCCCAAAACATGACCGAGCTCAGTCCTGGGACATAAAACTCCTTTTCCCACTGTGCTGTCAAAACCAGTATGCCAGTACTCCCAGGTGGCAAGAGCACAGTACACCTGAGGAGATACAGGCAAGTATCTCCTCTGCAGAAGGTCAAGGTCTGTGCAGAGATAAGCTTTGACCTATGTTCCCCAAACTCTGCTTTCAACCCAATCCTCTCCTTACATGGCACTAGCATTGGGATACAGGCCATGGGAAACTGCTGTGCTTGCTCCCTGCACCATTGGGAAGCAGTGTGCTTGTCCAGGAGCTGCATCTGCAGCTGGTGGCTTTTTCCATTTCTCTCCCCAGGCCTCCCCTTACAGATCCTTTATCTCTTTCTCCATCTCCTAGCCTGCTGACCTGGCAATCCTCCACCTAAGTCCTGTGCCCACCCTCCCTCCACTGCTACTCACGCTGGCCGGAGAATGGTACAGCGATCAAAACCAACAGCTTGGACCAGGTTCTCCACTTCTCCCTGTCACAGCAGTAGGGCAGGACGAAAGCAGACAAGGATGATTGCAAGCACCATCCCTCCCATGCCGTGAATTGGTAGGAAAGGGCTGCTAAGCCATGGGTAGGACTGCACTAAATTTAAAGCTGGTACAGGCCAGGCACTGCCAGGGCAGCCAGCAGCTCCCCAGGAAAAGGCAGTGGAGGGCGAGCGTCTAAGATGGTGGATTGTCAATCAGCAGTGCACCCTTGCAACCATCACGCTAACTGCAACTGGATGCTCCTGAGACAGCATCTGGACACTGCCCAGCCCAGGGATCCCAGAACAGGACACTGGAGACAGTAGTGAGTGCAGTAGATGCCGGGGGCTGCAGCACACAAAAAACCTTCACAATGATCATGGTCCCACATGGGGAGCCTGCGGGTTCTCCATCCCGGGATAGCTCACATCTCACCTGGACACAGCCCTGAGCCTCCTCACCTAGCAGTGAAGCCGTCCCAGTCTGGGGAGCTGGGATTGGGCTGGAGACCTGAGCAGGTCTTTCAGTGGTCTGAAGAGGGAGACATGCTGTATGCCAGTGCTGTGCTGCTTTGGACAAAGCCAGTTGCACAGCTGTCCAGCCAGCCCCCTTCCCTCATTCCCTTGTCCCCTAGCAGGACCCCCAGAGCCATTCTCATCTCTAGAGACCTCAGCTCCTGCTTCATTCCTGAGCATCCCAGCATTTTCTGACTCCTGCACGAGCATCAGGAGCTCCCCCCATGCGCCTCCTCACCTTCACCCGGAGATAGAGAAAGCGGCTGTGCTGGTCTGCCCCCCGGGAGGACTGCAGGACGAAGTGTTTGCAGCCCCCTGCCCGCGCCAGCTCTGCCGCCTGCCCAACGTAGTCCCGGTCCACACGGATGAAGCCATCCTGTGGGTAAAGGACAGAGGAGGGTCAGCATGGGAGGGAGAAGGCAGGCAGGACCCCTGCTCCCCCGGGGCCCCACTCACCACGCCAGCCTTGGCCCTGGTGGTGCCCAGGCAGCAGAAGCCGACGTCGTGTCCCCGGAAGGCCGCAGCGTGCTCGCTCAGCCGCTCGAAGTCCACCACAACCTGCTCCTGCGGGGAGCCCAAGGGTCAGCGCGGCCACCCCGGCGACGGGGACCCCTGAGGGACACCCGGCCCAACGCACCACGGCCGCGCCGGTCTCCTCGCCCAGGCTCAGCCAGCGCCGCCCGATCAGCGTCACCCTGGCAAAGAGCTGCCGGGCCAGCAGCTCCCGCAGCAGCACCCGGCCCGTCTCCCCGGAGGCGCCCAGCACGAAGCAGGACCTGCCGCTGCCGCCTCCGTTATCGCTCGCCGCCGCCATGCCGAGCGAGGTGGGGCGGGCCTCTTCCGCCTGCCCGCTCTTTACCGCCCAGCCAGCTGCGGGCTTCCCGGCAGCGCTGGCAGCGGGGCCAGGGGAGTGGACACAAGCTGCTGGAGTTCAACGTGGGGCTGCGTTCAGCGCGTAGGGGAGGTAGCACAGGGAGGCTGCCGGGGCTCCCGAGCAGGGGCTGCCCGAGGGGACCCGCCTCAGGCTCGCTGCTGCTTCCAGCCCGCACGGACACACATATACTAGTGCTCCCCCTCCTGTCCTTGCGCTTGGTGTCCTTGCAGCGGCAGAGCCCACTCCTGGGAGGCCGCATGGTGCCACATGCTTTACAGTGGTCCTAGCGACAGGGACAAGGAGCAATAAAAGTAAAACACAGGAAGTTTCACCTCAACATGAAGAAGAACGCTTTATGCTGAGTGTGGCAGAATACTGGAACAGGCTGTCGGGGGGTCATGGAGTCTCTGTCTCTGGGGACATTTAAAACTTGCCTGGATGCGTTCTGTGTAACCTGCTTTGGGTGTCCGTGACTTAGCAGGGGGGTTGGACTGTATTATCTCCCGAGGTTCCTTCCAGCCCTAACAGTTCTGTGATCCTGTGAGTCCTCTGCCCTCCATGCTCAGGTGGAGGGGATGTGTTCCTGGTGGGATGCTTACAGGTGTCTGTGATCTCCTCCCCAAACCCATTTGACGCAGAGTGCACTGCTGGCCAGTGTGCCCCATAGCTGTGTCCTCAAGGCAGCAGGCAAGTTACCCACCCCAGGCACCAGCTCCCAGCACAATGAGGGACAATGGCAATCATCGACAGGACAGGACAGGTGCCATTGAGAGCCAACCTGGGACATGGCTCTGCAGTGGGCACCCAGGGGCTCTGCACAGCTAGCTGCTCCCACAGGTAGCATTAAGGGGCCTGCAGCACCCCAATCCCGTTTATCCTGATTCCTGGGGAGGGAGGTGCAGAGGCCTCCATACTTTAAGGATTAGCCAGGTGATTTTCCAGCCCGGCACGTCTGCCGAGCACTCCTCTTGGCCGAGGGCTGGGGATGAATCCCTAGTGCACGTGCCACATGTGAGGCAGGATGCGCGTCATGACCATCACAGGGTTAATGGCCGGCATCCCGCTCTACCTGCCAGTGTGCCTCTGGCACCCATGGTTGTGCGTCCCATCTGGTGGCCTGCATCCCGCAGCCACAGGCAAACCCAGGTAGGTGCAGGACAGGAAGGCTGGCGTGCAGTGGGGATCCAGGATAGTGGGATGAGTGCTTGAGAATGGGAGAGGAACTGGGAACTATATAGTGCAATGCTGCAGAGTACTGGCAGCAACATGTACGGGGTATGTGATATGCCATAGGGTTTCATGGCATGGTGGGGACACCTCTGGGCAGGAGTGGGATTGGGATGCATGGGGCCATGTGGTGCTCCCACTGCTCATGTTATGCTTCTCCTCCACGGCAGGCCTCTGTACGGCTGGCCAGGCACCAGGGTGTCTACTCTCCCAGTGGCATGGAGGCGCAGTGCTGGCGCAACGCAGCATTTGACTGCACGCCCCAGCCAGCAGCCTGCTGCCCTGACTGGATGGCGGGGCTCCCCGATTCCCTGCCCCTCTCCCGCCTCTCCATCCCTGGCACCCACGACTCCCTCAGCCTGTTCGGTGGCCGGCGCCTGCGGTGCCAGAGCTGGGGCCTGGAGGCTCAGCTGGCAGCGGGTGTCCGCTTCCTGGATGTGCGCTGCAAGCTGGCACGGGGCGAGCTCCATGTGTACCACCTCTGCACCTTCCAGCGGGCCAGCCTGCGGGGGGTCCTGCGCCGCACCCTGCGCTTCCTCCGCATGCACCCTGGCGAGGCTGTGCTCATGCGCATCAAGGAGGAGTTGCCCATCTTCTCCCGGCCTGGCTTCGCCTCCCAGCTGCAGCGCTGCTTGCTGGAGGAGGGACAGGGCTCTGTGTGGTGCCGGGAGGAGGTGCCAACGCTGGGCCAGGTGCGAGGGAAGATTGTGGTGCTGGAGGCGCTGGCGCAGGAGGTGCTGGGCATTCCCTATGAGCAGCTGAGCATCAGTGACGCCTGGAACGTGCTCTCGCTGGAGCGCAAGTGGGTGCAGGCACGGCGGCACCTGGATAGGGCGGCCAGCGGGGACCCTGCCACCATGCACCTCACCTTCTGCTCTGGCAACGGGCTCTTCACTTGCCCCGAGGAGGTGGCCCGCTTTGTGAACCCACGCTGCTACCAGCACCTGCGGCGCCGGCGGGGCCAGCCCGTGTGCTGGGGGGTGGTCATCATGGACTTCCCTGGGGCAGGCCTTCTCTGGCTCATTGTGGAGAGCAACGGTCTGCAGCCAGCAGACACATTACAGCGGCCCCCAGCAGCCCCACAGTACCCTCGCGGCAGCCCCCCAGCAGAGGGGAGAGGCGCAGCAGGCAGCACAGCTCCGCTCACTGCCCACGCCGGTGCCCATCAGGACGGACGCTGCTCCCAGCCCCACGCCTCTGCCGAAGGATGTGAGTGCCTTTAAGAGCAGAAGTGGGTTTTCTAGCTGTTGAGCACCAGGAAGCCTTTGACTGCCTGAGGCAGAAGAGGAGGGTTGGCAGCTGTGGTTGGAGCAGGGCAGCCCAGGGTGCTGCCCCCTGCATGCAGCTCTCCCCAGAGGAGCCAGATACAGCCCCATCACAGCGCTGGGCCAGCTGAGTCCCTGGCAGAGCAGCAGGTATGGGTGGAAGGAGCAGATCCTGCCTTGTTTCCTGTCAGGCTGGTGAGTCCACCCAAAATGCGTCTCTGCAAAACAGTCCTTTTCCTTTCAAGGGTGAATAAAAATAAAAAGAACCTAGGAAAGCACTCCCCATATTGCCTTGCCGTTTCAGAGCAGAAAAGTGCAGAAAATACCTTTTGATTTTACTGCTCAGATAGGAAAAAGCCTGTACCCCTCTGCCCATGGCCCAAGCACAGTTTAATTGGTGTTTGTAACCATCTTACTCTGAAAGCAGAACAGGAAGAGGGAGGAGGAGGAAGTCACTTCACTTCAAAGGTGACAACAAATGGGTTATCAACATCTTTTCCCTCATTATTTTAGCTTCTAGTTTTTTCTTTCAGGGGGTTGCCGCAGAAGTCAGGACTTTTAGACAGGTAACTTCAGCAAACACCACCTGACCCTGTGTACAGAAAGCTGGACAGCCACAATAGTAGCAATTCAGATGGGGGATACCTCTTCCCTGGTGTCACACACAACTAGGGGACGCCGCACAGGGCAAAGCCCAGCAGTTTGCAACTGCATGGGCAGCATGGATAGGGCAGTTTGCAGATCCACAAAAGCAAAGAGGCTGAGATGTAAAAAAGACCTTAAAATGCACATGCCAGTGCCTGCCCTGCCTGCAGAAAATAAATCAGCAATTTAAATAGACTGGCAAGTCACAGGACACAGCTTCTTGGAGCAGAAAGACAGTGGAGATCCCAGGGGAGAAGCACCAAACTGCTGACTGCGCTGAAGCAGGGAGGTGAGAAAGAGGAAAGCCCATCCCTGGCCTGATGAGGGCAGGAGCGATTTTCCCCAAACTACCCCTGCATCCTGTAGCTGGGGCTTCCCCAGCACTATGAGGTGGGTGCCACAGCCCCTGGGCTGTCTTAAAGCACCCCTGTCCTGTCCCTAGCTAATGCTTGCAACCATCTCCCCCACTCCAAGCCAGGGCAGCACTTGGATAACACATCTTCCTGTGGCTCAAATGATGAAAAAGATTTTATCAGGCACTGCTTTCCGCCAGGACCGTCCAAGGAGAAGCCGGCTACTCAGCCTGCAGACCAGGCTTGCACTGGGAGATGTGCCCAAAGGCACCCTGAGGCTCAGGGACACTCTCTGGGTCAGCCACCCTCTACTGACCCTGAGGTGGGAAGAAGCTATCTCCCGCCTGCAGTCAGGATGTGCCTCTAAAGCCTCAGAGAGTGCCATCTCTGTCCCCATGGTGGAGCTGGGGATGGAAGCAGAAGGGCTGCACGCTGGTATGGTCTGGGTCCCTGCTGGTACCACACCACACCCCTGCAGGGTGCCATTGTGTGCCTTCTCACTCGGTGAGTTGCTGATCCCTCCCTGGGAGAGAGGGGGGCTTCCCAGGAAGGTGCCCACTATATCGTGGTCAGCAGCTGAACCAGGCTGGCTTAGTCAGGGTGACTCGGTTCCTCTGTGGTTTGCCAGGGGACATTGCACAAAGAGGGGAACACTGGGGCGGGAGCCTCTGCCAAAAACAAGGGCGCCTCTGCATGGGGAAGGGTGTGGGGGGGGGGGGTATGAGTGTGTAGCATGGTGGTGATGTGTGCCCCAGGGTCTTGCTGCACCAGGTTCTGGGCACTCCCTGGGGACACGCTGTGGGGCACAGCCTGGACTTGGCCCTGGAGCTCTGCAGGAGCTAAGGCCTGGGCCATCTGCCCATCTCTGCCAGTGCCACCTCCCCACACAGCACATACAGCCCCTGGCACCAATGGTCCCAGCCACACCTGGGTGCTCCCAGTGCTGTCTGAGTACTCCTGCAAGCATCGCACCCTGCCCTGCCCATGAGACGCTGCTGCAGCACGGCTGAGCATGCTGAGAGGGCACAGAGCATCAGCCTAGGTGGGCAGCTATGGCTGCAGCCGCTGAGCTGCTTTCCCCTGGCCAGCCCTGCAGTCACAGCCTGCTGGTGGGTTGCCCGACCCCTGGCAGTGGTTTGTAGATGGGAGGGGGGCACCCATGCCCCCTCCCCACAAATACTGCCTACAGCAGGGCTCTCACATGAGAGGGAGCATCACCTCTGTCTATGGCTCAGGACCAGGGCATAGCAAAGGAAGCATATTTCCATTGTAGGTTCCTGCAGCATCCTGAATCCTTCCTGGGGGACTGAGCCTTGGAAAACACCGAAGATGTGAAAGGGCTCTTCGTGATCACCCAGCTCCAGCAGAGCTATAAAGCTAATTCAGGTCTTCCCTCCCTCCCACAAAGTGTGCCTCTCTGAGCCCAGGTACCTGTGGGCATAGGGCACCTGTCCCCACAAAGAACTTTGAACTTTGCTATGTTTATGTGGTGGCAGCCTCTATGTCTCATCCACTCTGATTCTGTTTTTCAAACAATACCAGAAACTATTTGTAGCTACAAAAATAAAGGTGGGAGTATTTTCTTTCTACTGCTCTGCCTACCGTGCTGAGTTTCAGCTGAAGTGAAACTGGCAGGGGCACAGCCTGCTGCCTCCCACGGCCATGCACCTATGAGCACCCCTCTGACTCCCAGCAGGTCTCACACCATTAGGAGGGATAGCTCCAACCCCCCCGGGTGACCCTCAGCATCTGGAGTTGTTCTCCTGCCCCAGCAGCTGCCCTTTAGCTTCTTTGCTTGCCCATCTGCTTCTTTCCTAGCTGTAATTGTACCCCCTGTACATGAGCTGCTAGAAAGTGAGTGCTCCTGGATTACTGGACACACAGGCTCATCCTCAGCAATTCCATAAAAATAGACAATTACAGTAAAATTGAATATTTTTACAAGGAAAATACCCAGAGACAGGAACCAAGATTCATTTACGTTGGCCAGGCATAAAGTCATTGTAGTGGGTTACAGCTTTTGTGGGATGGGTTCCTGCTTTTGTCTAGCATGAGTCTCAGTGGAGCAGCATCAATTTCTCTGGAACTGGAAAATGCATGTGACCTGCATGGCTCACACTTTGGCTTTAACTGGAAGAGAGCAGCATAATTCCTGCAGAAAACCCTGCCAAAGCAATTTAACTTAGAAGCAGAATGGGGTAAGGAAAGATTTATGATGATTCAAGAGTGATCCAATGGGAGGTGGACACAATGAGGCATGTTCCTGAAGCACCAGTGGAAGTTCCTAAAGGATGTTAACAACTCGGGGGAAATTCCCCTGGCATGTTCTTAGAACTTTCTCATAAAGACTTAAAGGCAAAGACGGGAAAATTCATTGTGTAAGTAACCATTTATAAAGAGTATATGAAGATTCACAGCCAGAGCAAAAAGCCTGCAAGCACGGAGAGCATCCAGCACAGGAGCTCGCAGGCTGTGAGCCATGCTCCCACTTTGCCCACGTGGGAGCTCATCACAGCTCATCCCTCCTCTGTCCTCCAAACACCAGTGAAGGAACATGGACATGGTGGGTTAGAGAGGTCTCAGTGCCCTGGGCACCACGGGCTGGACCCCTCCTGGGGGCCCCTTCTCCACCTCCTGGGGGCATGGGCAAGCCCAGCTTGTTGTCAGTCTGCTCCTGTGGTTGTCATGTCCCCATGGGGATGCACTCAGCTCCTGTGCCATGGGGCAGACATTGAGCCGAGTCCTGCCTGGGCTGCAACCAGGACTGACCCAGCTGCTCCCCTCTGGCTTCAGGCTGGGAGCGGGGTCTCTGCGGATGGGAGAGCCCTGTGCTGGGGGAGGCAGGAGTGCAGGGCAGGATGCGGGTTGGCAGCAGGGCTGGGGTGGGAGGGGAAGAAGACAAGAGCAGGGAGCAATGCACTTGGAGGAAGTGCGAGCACCACTGCTCACAGAGGGGCAGATGTGCCTGGCACTGCCAGCAGCTGGGCAAGGCGTGTCTGTGGTGCTGACATGGTAAGTCCTTCTCTTTTCCTTGGGGATGTGTTGGGGTCTGCTTAAAAGGGGGAATTAGGGGAGGGCAGGGCTATAGGTAGGTACTGCCAGGAAATGGTGCTGCTGCCGGAGGCAGATGCCAGCCCTTGGTCTGTGGGGAGGGCATGCCCTGTACTTAGGGGCTGCCCAGGAGTGAACTGCCCATGGACTCCCCCACTGTCCAGCTGTGCTTATAGGCACAGCCCCTGCACTGTGCCTCACTAGAGAGCCCATTCTGCAGCATAGCAGTACCTGCACACAGCGTGCCTCTGTGTGAGCCAGCATAAGCAACGTGCCCGTGTGGCTACCAGGACTACCTGGCAGGGGTGTGGGTGCACAGCCCCGCCTGTAACCCCCCATGCATGCTCATATCTCTCTCCCTGGCATGCAGGGCACTGTTCTGGGACTGCGGTCTGCTGGAAGGACATGGGCTCTGAGCTCTCATGGCATCTGCTACCTGGGCATCGCTGCCATCACATGGGGTAAGCCACTCTCCAGCCGCTCAGTGTGACCCTGCTGCCAGGGAGCCTGCAGGCCCAGAAAGCTGAAGAAGAGCAGCAGTGTTATTTTGGGAGGTCATCACTCACAACCCCCATGGCTGCCAGCCAGGGCCGGGTCTTTCTGGGCTGGGAGCACGCTGCATCTGCCTGGGGGTGGAAATGCAGGCAAACAGCACCCACCTGGGATTCAGCTCCAAGTGAGCAGGGAGAGGTAACACAAGGCTGTGTGGAAGGAGTGGGGATGAGCTGTGCTACAGAGAGGGTGTTGCTGGTGGAGCTGGAGGAAAGAGGTAGGAGAGCATGTGAAGGATGGGCATGCAGCAGAGGGGCTCCTTTGGTCCTTCTTGGTTTCAGGCTGGGGTGTGTGAGGGTGGCAGGGCAGCTGCCCTAAGCTGTGCTGGGAGGGTAGCAAAGGCCAGGAGGTAGGTGGTGGGAGCTGAGGTTGGAGCAGTTTCCCAGGAGGTGCCCTGGGCTTCTCTCCTGCAGCCACAAACTCCCAAGTGGTGGAGGGCTGCAGTTGAAGGCCACCATTTCCTCATCTTTGGTTGTCTTGAACAAAGGGGATAGTTTGCTCTTCATAAGGAAAACCAGACAAATTATGGGAATTTAGCTTAGAAAAAACATAATTGACCAAACCAGAGCCCTAATTAGACTCAAAAAGCCCTAGATTTACATCTAATCTGCAATGTCCAGACCTCTGCATGCATGACCACAGTTTGATATACTTTCCCGAGGCACAGGGTTCCCCAGGCCAGTTGTTTGGACCAAACTCTGATACCATCTCACTTTCTGCATAGATGGAGATAGGATTCCCATATCGGTTTTTGCAATTGTGGAGATACCTGCTTCTGGGGAGGAGCTAAGAAGCTTTTTTGTGGCTAAACCCTTTGATTGCATCAAGTTGTGGTGTGAAATGCTGTAAATAAGAGCAGGGTGCTCTTCACTTCTGGGTGTGGGTTCCAGTTAATCTCTGGCTTTGTCTTGCCTGGTGGTCATGACCAGGATGTGAACTTGACTTTTGCAAGATGTTATTTTGCAATACTGAATTTTACAAGATTCTTCAGACCATCTCTGACTCAGATTAGTAGGTTGGGATCTAAGTGCTTTTGGGGGTGAGGGCATGCTTGTTGCTCTGCCTTGCTCCAAGCTGACTCTTGTGTACAAGTGTAAAGAAAGAAAACCAAACTGGTATACCTCTATGCTTGAAGAAGGAACTGTGTTTAAAGAGCCATCCTGATACTGGGTTTTGCCCTTTGGGAAACCCTTGTGGGCAGGGGAGCAGGGCTGTGGGATTGGGCTTTCATTTCTTGTGCTGGAGGAGAGGTTGCCATCATCGCTTGGGGCTCTTCTGCTACCTGTGCTCTGCCTGTACCATCCTATGCTGCCCTCTGTCTCAGCCTTCACCCCATCTCCCCCACCTTCCTCATCTCTGTGCCATCCCCCTCAGTCTCACCTCAGCTCCTTCTGCCATGCCTGATCCACCCACATTTCCATTCTCACCCACACTCATCCCTTTGACACATCCCCTCACCTAGCTGTTCATTGGCATCTCCTGGCCTAGCCCACCCTCATATGCCAAGGGACCCAGTTCCCGACCTAGCTTCCATCCTTTCTGTGTCAGTCCTGGACCTCATCCACTCTCACAGGCATGATAATACAACTGGAGGTGAGTGCCTGGACATACCACTACAGTGACCAAGGGGACTACACATGGGAGCAGGCCAGGAACTACTGCCAGACCTTCTTCACTGACCTGGTGGCGATCCAGAACAAGCAGGAGATTGAGCACCTCAACAAGAGCCTGCCCTTCTATAGGCACTACTATTGGATTGGCATCCGCAAACTGAGCGGCACCTGGACCTGGGTGGGCACTAAGAAGGTGCTGACAAAGGAGGCAGAGAACTGGGCAGCTGGGGAGCCCAACAATCGCCGCTCCAACCAGGACTGTGTGGAGATCTACATCAAGCGGCTCTTTGAGTCGGGCAAGTGGAATGACGAGCCCTGCAACCGAAGGAAAAAAGCACTGTGCTACCAGGGTGAGCAGGGGGGATTGTGAATCAGGTGGGCTGGGGACCTCAGCAGGGTGGCCAGTGGCTTCTGATGACTGTCCTCTGTGTGCACAGCCTCCTGCCAGCCCTTCCCATGCAGCCAGCGCGGCGAGTGTGTGGAGACCATCGGGAGCTACCGCTGCGAGTGCTACTCTGGCTTCCATGGCCATGAGTGTGAGGATGGTGAGCCATCCATCCCCATCCCTCCCTCCCTGCTGGAGAGCCTGAGCCTGGCAGCAAAGTGGGCAAGTTCATTTGTTCTCCTAACGGGCTGGTGGTGCTTTGTCTCTCCCAGTTGTGCAGTGCACTGAGCTTGAGCCCAAGGGAGTGCAAATGAACTGCAGCCATCCCTATGGACGCTTCAGCTACAACTCCACCTGTATGTTTGAATGCCAGGAAGGGTTTGAGCGGCAAGGGGCAAGCACCCTGCGGTGCCTGCCTTCCCAGCAGTGGTCAGCAGACACCCCCATGTGCACAGGTATGGCCTGCCAGCAGCTGGGGGTCTCAGGGATGTGGCATTGAGACTTTCAGGAGGCCAGCCCTTCATGCCCAGTAGCAAGCAGGAGCTCACTGGGCCCCTTACCCTTCAAGGAAGTACCTTCTGGTGACACATGTGGGAAGCAGTTTCCCAATGAGGCTGTGATGGCCAGAGTGGCTGTGAGCTCTGGATAAGCCCCCTGCTCTCCCTGGCTGTCCCAGTGCTCTTGCTCACTGTCCTCAATGCCACCCAGGTGCCAGCACCCTGTGTGCACCAAACACAGGGGCAGAACGGCATCTTGGCACCTCCATCACTCTGCTGGCATTATTTCCATCTTGCCAAGCCCACTCCAATCCACCTTGGAAGGTACTCTGCATCTTGGGAGTCCTCAGAGAGGAACGAGGGGCTGCTGTCCCACTGCCAGAGGAAGGGCAGGGCTGGGCCACACTGAGTGGGGGTGAGGAGATGAGATTAGATATAAGGTGGGAGGGACAGAGCGAGCAGGAAGGACAAAGGACAGAAAGCTGTGTTATGTTATGCTTCAGGGGGTAGAGAGAGTCTTCATGCCAGTGGCTTGAGGGTTTGCAGCCAGGTGTCACACAGAGATGCTGGGCTTTTTTTGGGAATGTGAGAGCCCTGCTCCACTTTCCTGTGTCACCAAGTAGGACTGCAGCAGCTGCAGGCCTTCATCCTGGGGGCTGTGACTAGGGATAGTGCATGGGATGAACAGGTCTCTGGCAGGGCAACAAGTCTTCCCCCAGGAAATCATATGGCAGAAAAATCATAGTACCAGCTACATTGCTAGTTTTTAAAGAGGTGAGACTTGTCTGTGTGAGAAAGGCAAATCAAAGACATTTCACCATAGATTTGGTTTTGTTTGATTGGGAATCAGCCCTAATCCCCTAGATTTAACCTCATCTATCCTGTCTCTGAGACCTGCTCTCCCACTGCAGCCATCACCTGCCCAGTGCTCAGTGCTCCAGACTGGGGAGAGCTGAACTGCTCCCACCTCCACGGGAACTTCGCCTTTGGCTCCACGTGTGCCTTCTCCTGCCAGACAGGATTTTCACTGATGGGGTCAGAAAGTCTTCAGTGTATGGCCACAGGAACCTGGACTGGGGATACCCCACACTGTGAAGGTAGAGCTGCTGCTAGAGCTCAGGATGTGATTGGTCTTGGGGTGACACTAGGATGTTCCCCAGCCTCTTGATCCCTGCAGTTTAGTCCCTCAGTCCCCAAGCTCCTGCTTGAAGTGTCCATCTTTACCCTGCAGCTATCACCTGCCCAGTGCTCACTGCTCCAGAATGGGGAGAGCTGAACTGCTCCCACCTCCATGGGGACTTCACCTTTGGCTCCACATGTGCCTTCTCCTGCCAGACAGGGTTTACACTGATAGGGTTGAAGAGTCGTGAGTGCATGGCCACGGGGACCTGGACTGGGGATGCCCCACGCTGTGAAGGTAAAATTAAGGTGTCACAGGCCTTGGGTTGTTATCCTAGGTTGTTATCCTGTAACATCCTAGGATGTTCTTGGGTATCTTGATCTTCTTTTCCCAATAGTGGAGACCTGTAGTCCCCAGGTTCCTGCTTGAAATGCACCTCTATCCCTGCAGCTATCACCTGCCCAGAGCTCAGTGCTCCAGACTGGGGAGGGCTGAACTGCTCCCACCTCCATGGGGAATTTGCCTTCAGCTCCACGTGTGCCTTCTCCTGCCAGACAGGGTTTGCACTGATGGGGCCAGAGACCCGTAACTGCACAGCTACAGGGACCTGGACTGGGAATGCCCCAAGATGTGCAGGTATTGCTGCTGCTAGAGCTCAAGGTGTCACTAATCTTGGGAAATATTCTAGTGTCACCTCAACCCCTTTCTCCCAAATGTTTAGTCTCCCAGTCCCCAAGCTCCTGCTTGGAATGTATCTCTGTCCCTACAGCTATCACCTGTCCAGTACTCAGTGCTTCAGACTGGGGAGAGCTGAACTGCTCCCACATCCATGGAGACTTTGCCTTTGGCTCCACGTGTCTCTTCTCCTGCCAAATGGGGTTTGCACTGATGGGGTCAGAGAGACGTGAGTGCACAGCCATGGGGACCTGGACTGGGAACACTCCACAGTGCAAAGGTAGTGATGCTACTCAATGTGTCACAGGCCTTGGGGTAACCATAGGATGTTCTCTGGTGTCTTGGATGTCTTATTCCAACAGTTTAGCATCATAGTCCACAGGCTCCTACTTGAAGTGTGCCTATTTACTCTGCAGCCATCACCTGCCCAGTGCTCAGTGCTCCAGATCAGGGAAAACTGAACTGCTCCCACCTCCATGGGGACTTTGCTTTTGGCTCCACGTGTGTCTTCTCCTGTCAGATGGGGTTTGCACTGGTGGGGCCAGAGAGCCGTGAGTGCACGGCCACGGGGACATGGACTGGGGATGCCCCACACTGTGAAGGTACAGTTAGTGCTCAAGGCATCACATGCCTTGGGTTGATCCTAGGATGTTCTAGGGTGTCTTGATCCTGTTATCCTAACAGTTTAGTGTCATTGTTCCCAAGCTCCTGCTTGAAGTGTGCTTATTTACCCTGCAGCTGTTGCCTGCCCACTGCTCAGTGCTCCAGACCAAGGAAAGCTGAACTGCTCCCACCTCCATGGGAACTTCACCTTCGGCTCCACATGTGCCTTCTCCTGCCAGACAGGGTTTACACTGATGGGGCCAGAAAGCCTTGAGTGCACAGCCATGGGGACCTGGACTGGAGACTCCCCACACTGTGAAGGTAGAGTTGCTGCTCAAGGTGTCACAGGCCTTGGGTTGATCCTAGGATGTTCTTGGATATCTTGGTCCTTTCATCCCAACAGTTTAGCCTTGTAATTCCCAAGCTCCTGCTTGAAATGCATCTCTCTCACTGCAGCCATCACCTGCCCAGAGCTCCGTGCTCCAGACTGGGGAGAGCTGAACTGCTCCCACCTCCACGGGGACTTTGCCTTTGGCTCCACCTGTGCCTTCTCCTGCCAGACAGGGTTTGCACTGATGGGGCTGGAGAGCCACAAGTGCACAGCCATGGGGACCTGGACTAGCAAAACTCCACAATGCAAAGGTAGATCTAGTTGTAGAAGACTTTCCTCAGCATCAGATTCCCCTTAGCACCCCAGTCCATGTCAGCTGATCCCCTAGCTCCCCAGTGCACATGTCCCCATCTCACTAATAACTGTCCCGTCCTACTGCTGCTGCTGCTGTGCTCTATCACCAGCCATCAGCTGCCCGGAGCTGGACCCCCCCAGCAGAAGTCACCTGAGCTGCTCTCACATGTATGGGAACTTTACATACAACTCCACGTGCACCTTTTCCTGTGAGGAGGGCTTTGTTCGGATGGGAGCAGAGGTGCTCTGGTGTGCAGCCACAGGGAACTGGACTAGGCAACCCCCTGTCTGTGCAGGTATGGTGGGACTCCATGCTCCTCAAGCAGTGTGGGGGGTTCAGCTTCCTGCAGCACACCTTGAATATTGTTGGGGGCACCCTAGCAGCTTGGGTACTGTGAAATCCTTCTGACAACTTTCTAACCTCTGTGTCTGTGGATCTGTTTCAGAGAACGGTGCCCTCTTAAAGCAAGTCCTTGCCTACAGCAGCGGCACAGCTCTGGCAGTAGCTGGCCTCACGCTCTCTGGGATGCTCATTGCGCTCATTGCCAAGCGGCTCAGTGACAGAGGTAAGGAAATACCTCCTGCAGCCCACTGTCACTTTGGGGCGGGGGGGGGGGTGTCCTGGGGAAGGTGGTTATAGAATCCCAGGGGAGGGTGGGTTGATCAGAAGAGTTTAACAGTGTGACTGCCTCAATCCACTTGTCTTACTTGCTTCAAGTTGGTTGGGTTCTTGGCAATTTGTCCAACTGAAAGCGTCAGCAACCAGGTCTAGAGGGGAAAGCCAGAAAAATACCTTCACTATGAAGAGGAAGAAGGGAAATGCTTCAGCACCCCATCCTTGCTTCATCCCACACATGTAAAACTCAGTTCAATGTCAGATGCTGCTGCTGCAGCTTCTCATGTCTTTCACTAAACAGATTTGGTTATTTCTTTTCCATCTGCTCTATCCCTGTGGACATTTCAACACCATTATCAGAGGAGAAGAAGAAGCTCTTGAACCCTACCAGGTGAGAATTGTGCTCTGGAGGAGGATGGCTCTGCTCTGTGCCCATCACAGCCCTGCAGTCACGCTGCTCTCACCCCGAACTGCCTATGTGAGGCTGTTTTTATATACAGGGCAGATGGGGCTGTGCAAACCTCTGCCCTTCACACCCCTGCACCCTCCCCGAAGGTGACATCCTTGTGTTTGTCTTTCAGTGACCTAGGCTCGCCTGGCATCTTCACCAATGCAGCCTATGATGCCAACCTGTAAGGTGAGCACCAGCAAGATGCTAATAGCAGCCTGTGCTCCTGCAGTGGCCTGGACGTGCTGCTTCCTCCTTCTGCAGAGTCACTTGTGGAAAATCCACCTTGGCAGCTATCCTCCTGGTTGGGGTGCTCCCAAGTGTGGACATCCCTTAAAAGGGGAAGGGGGAAGACCTGGTGCTTTTGGTGCTGTACCAAGGGCTCTCTCCCTCCTGTGCTTCCAGCCTGGCCCGGACCAAACGCCACCGTGTTCCCCAGCGCTGCAGACCCAGCAGGAGCTGCTGCCAGGGCCTAGAGGGGCTTCGTGTCTTTGCCTTCAGTCCCGACCTGCGCTGCCCGTGGAAACAGCACCCACGCTGCGTTCACACACACACACACACACACACACACACACACACACACACACAGACGCTGCCTTCCGGCAACGCCGTGCACCAGCACCCGGGCCGCTGGCCGCCCTCTGGGGCCAGGCCTGGGCCGGGTCCGTCCCCTTACGGAGCTGCCTCCCTGCTCCTGCCGTTCGTGGTTCTGGCGACCGGCTTCTGCCAGCGGGGCCTGAATAAACTGCTATTTCTAGGGAATCGTCTGTGTGTCTGCGCGCGGGTGGGGAGGTACCGCAGCCGCGTGTCTGTCGGCGGCCGCCGTAGGAGGGGAGGGGCGGAGAGGGGCGGGGCGCGGCGCTGCCGGAAACAGACGTGTGTTTCGGGAGGAAGGCGGAAGCGATGGCTGCGGCGGCGGCTGAGGCCGAGTGGGAGCCTCCGGGGCTGCTGTCGGCCCCGGGGAGCGGCCTTGACTGGGGTGAGCGCGGATGTGGGGGTAGAGGCCGGGAGGTGGGGAGCCCCTGGGCGGGTCGGCGCTGAGGCTGTTGTCTCTCACGCAGAGGCGGTGCTGGGCGAGGAGCTGAGTGAGCTACTGGGTCCTGCGGAGCCGCGGCTGGCCCTGAGGGACGAGCCCGACGTGAGTATCCGACGGGCGCGGCGGGAGGTCGGGATACCCGCACTGCCGGCTGCGGACTGGGGGGACGCCGAGGAGCAGCAGTGCGGGTGTCACGCCGCCCGGCGGCAGGAAACACTCTGTCTCTGCCGGTGGGGGGCAGGCCGTCCACCCGTGCGTTAGATGTGGAGGTGCTGGGTAGTCAGTGCCTTAATAAGTTGTCCCTATCAATGCTAGAGATCTAAAAGCCAGGTTTAAAGGTGAAAGTTTGAGGTGCTGAGTTGTGAGAGAGCTGGGAGAGCCGTATTGTCGCTGACCTAATGAAGGTAGGGCTATTGGGGAGGACGTTTCTGGATTGTGTGAAAGGAGACATATGGAGAAGCATGGAAAACGCTACACCTGCGTCCATCAGTGCTGTGCTTTATCACCTTGCTTGTATGATAGCTTCTTGTTTTCTTGTCTATTGTAGGGTTTTCTCCTAAAACTTTTGCTTGCAACCTTATGCATTCATCCCCATGTTTTTCACTGTCTGATTGTACCTACGGCTTTTTCTGTCCCAGAGCATGGATTCTCCTCTCTGTGTTGTTCCATTGTCTTTCCTTTGCGCACTGTATCCTAACCCACCTCCAGCACAACCCCTGGGTTATCCAACATAAACCTCAGGTGCTAAGATCATTCTTAGAGGTTCTAGAGCTGGGTGCTGGAGAAAATGTGAGAACTGCTTGACTTTACAATTAATAGGTATTTCCTATCAACAAGTCAGCTTTAGTTACCCATGTGCTCTTATTACATAGCCTGGGCTATGGCTTTTCATCATTCTTCCTGTAAATGCGCCCTGATGAGCTTTCTCTTCATGCTAGCATGAAACTAATATCCATGCAGTCTGTGCCTTTCTGAACCTCCCTTTACAAGGCAAGTAAGGAGAGGTACATTTGCAGGATAGTTTTTAGTGTTAAAATATTTGCTGTATATTGGTGTAAGTTGGGTATGTGATATTTGTATTTTTCATGCAAGAGCTCATAAAAATGTCACATTTGAGTAGGGGACTGAGGCTTACAGATGCATCAGCAGAAGAAATGCTGATGGAGCATTTCTGATGATTGTCGTAAAGGTCATTCAATAAATAATACGTATGAAGTGATTTTAGTCTTTCCCCCACCACCTTCTGATGGAAAAGGAAACTGGTGTCCCTGGTTTTAGAAGGTTATGATGTCAGTTTATTCAAGTATAGGGAGACCTAATATGTGCTGTTCATTAGATGCTGAGCAAATCAGTCCTTGTGGCTCTTCCTGCTGTTGCTGGTGCTTTTGCTTATGAAGTGCTTTGAGATGTGATGGGATGCAGATGAAGGGGAGGATGGGAACAAGCTGCTAACACTTGTGCTATGTATGAGATGATTCAATGACTAGACTTAGAACTTTTGCTTTACAAATTACTGATAACAATACAATAATTAGTGACAGTCTTAAAATTGCATTCTTCGTTCTTATGTATCTACGATGGCCTTGTCTTGTGTATTCCAGCTGAAAATTGCCTCCTTAAGGGCTTTTATCTCTGTGTGCTTTAAGGCAAGTGAAGTGATAGTTGTGTTGTTATCCAGAGCTATAAGAATGTGAACATAATGGATGGTAGCTTCAATTCGTATTGCCTTTTTGTATTCTTTCTTTTTCTGAACTGTCATTCCAGGAAAATGATCTCTATAACTTTCATTTTGATTTGGATTTGATGTCTTGGGACTCAGACCTTTGGAATATTACAGGCCATGCTTTTACAGGTAATTAACTTCTGTATTTTGCAAGTGTGACTATTCCCCTCCATCCCACAAGGGTGAGCTGTTACAATTTAAGAATATTGGTAACCTGTTGAAACTATTTGATAGCCTGTAGCATTTATCTCTGTGATAAGAAGTCATGCTGTGTTCATGTAGGATGGGTACAATTGGTGAGGACTGCCCTACAAGCTAAGCTGTTTAGTATCTTTAGTCTTGCTATGTTTTCTGCTGTGACTTGCTTCAGGAATTAAATAGTTGATATAGGGCAGTGTGTTTTTCACTGATCTCCCATTGCCAAAAACTTGTACAGTAAAATTTCTGTATCTGCCTCTTGCAGATGCAAGCGTGAAGACAGAACCCTTATCACCAGCCACTTCAAATTGTTCGGTCCCTTCTCCATCATCCGTGGACTCTCCAGTGCAGAATGTGCCTGTATGCAGAAACTTCCATGTAACACAAATAGCAGCAGTCATTCAGAACCAGCTGTGACAAACAAAAAGCCCAGTGATTTTACTGTCTGAACAACTTCATGGCATAAGAAGAAACAGCTTAGTTTTCTAACCTTTGCAAAAGCAAATTTCTTTGAGTGATGTTTTGGTTTTCCTCTCGTGCTGTGACCCATTCTAAAAAGAGCATGTTCAGTTCTATTTCCTCAGCTGTGTTTATTGGCCTGGTTGCCAAACAGTATGCCTTCTAAAGGCTTCTGAGTCTAGCAGTTGCTGACCTTTGCTTCCCATCATTGTGCTGATAAGGAGAGCTACTTGTTTGCTTTTCTGTAGTACTTAGTTTTGATCAGAACAAAACCTTTCTCCCCTTTGCTGCAGCAGCAGCACAGATGTTACAAAAGGCAGTTATGTTCTGAACTGCTAGTAGACACTTTCAGGTGTTTCTGAAGCATTAATTTCATGCAATTTCTGTCTGCAGGATGATGTGGACTTTAGCAGTAGTTCCCAGATGTCTCCAGTCTCTCTCTACAGCAAGAGTTGCAGAAGCCCTGCATCACCTGAAGGAGATGGGGGGAAGAAGCCTGCTATCAGCATCTCTTCTCGGTCTGGTATGAGATTAAGTTACTTTGATTCCATAGATTGTATATTGTCTTGCATGTGAATCTTTAACTAACAGGCCTGTTATGTATCCTGTATATCCTGTAATTTGTGACTTGAATTTGTGACCATGTATGTCTGGTTTTAACAAATACTATAGATGGGTAAAATAAAGAACATACCAAAGGTCATGTTATTACTGCTTAAGTTCTATATATCTTCTGGTCCAACTCTGACCCTTTTTCTTTCCTAGCAAATAACTCTGCAAGGACCCTGAAGAGGTGTAGTCAGACAGTGTCCAGGCCTTTGATACAACCCAAACCCCTTTTGCCTGCTGTACCTGAAGCTCAGGCTAATGTTGGCATCCCAGCTAAAACCATCATTATTCAGACTCTTCCCACACTTGTGCCACTGCCAAAACATCAGCCAGTCGTTAATGTCCAGCCAGCACCTCCTAAAGGTAGGTGAATTGTCTTGAGCCCGGTCTTGAGGCAGAAACTGTGTTTGGGATGGTTGTTAGAATGGTTAAGTTTGGCAGGTGAAATTGGAGGGATAGGAGTAAAACAGGGGGGTCCTAAAATGCTTTGCTGAAAAAGCTTCGACTGAGAAGGTGGCCTTATTCCTCTCACATAGTCCAATGAGAAATAGCATTCACCTGAGTGTTATGTGGAATGGAAGACAGCATATCAAAACAGGCTATGCTGAGCACTGGTACATGTGGAGATAAAACTGCTGATTTGGAACAATCCCTATAGGCCCTTTTCTCTTCTCTGCTTGTGATGGCGAGTGGTGCATAAGGTGATTGCAGTGCTATTCTGTTGTAACCAAAGGAAGATCTAGCAGAATCAGGATGGCTTGAATGAAACTTGTAAGTTGGGGAGGTGTGATAAATATTTTTTTTTTCTTTACACACGTGAAATTCTGTCACAGAATGGTGGGAACATGAGTTTATGGCTTTTTATCTTGCCAAACAGCATTATCTAGGATGCTGTGAAATCTGCTAAAAGCAAAATCTTCTAAAAGTTGAAAATCATGTCAGAGGTTAGAAAAGTTGTTTATAGTTGCAAGCTGATGTTAACAAGAAGCAAGTGATTTCCTGTCCACTGATAATTCTTCATTGCTTCTGTTGCCCTGTAACAGGTTTTTGAAGTATCTTGAGCCTCATTTCTGAATCTAAAGCACTATTCTACTCTTAAGCTAAGGCAGTTGCATTGCTGAAATTGTTAGATGCAGTTGCTCATTTTCACCAGCTGATGGCTTGTGGTTGACATACAGGCACTGAGGCGTGAAATGGAAAGGAGACAAATACCTAAGAGCCTGCATCTAGAAATTAGTGAAATAGTGAAAAATTTGTCTTCCTTACTAATTGCTCATCCAGCAGGAGTTAAGCCAAAGCTGTAACAACTGACATTTTGTTACGACATGCCTAAGATTGTTACAGTACTTAAAACACAGGTCAGCACAGTCATCGTGACCTGATTCTTATTCCTTCTGATGTTCCAGCTGATAAAATACTGTCTAGAATAAGGAATGTTGGGAATATGGATTTCTTGGACATAAGTATAGTACTGCAAAGACTAGCTTCTCCTTTTTCCTGGAGAAAAATCAGAAGCATAGTTTCTGTGAGGCACTATAGAGGAAATACTTCTGGGAAAGTATTTCCATGCCATGTATTTACTTTAACTGCTGCTGTGTTTAAAAATTCTGTTGTGCTGCTTCCATAACAAAAACCATAAGGATCTTCATTAATGAAAATTCCTTGCGCATGACAAGTTGGAGCTACCGTTATCTTCAAGGGAGCATGTGGAATGGTATTTTTATAGTCACTTTTGTAAAAGCTGAAAGAAGAAGGCATGATCCTAGAGCATCACATACTTTGTGCCTGAAAAAAAAAATGTTGAAATCTAAAATTCACTATTTGATGTTCTTAATCAGGTGGTACTGACTTAGGATGTCTTTGAGATTATTTCTGCAAAAAAAAGAGATTTCATCCTACACCTCGTATGTAAAAGATCTTGGTGCTAGGTGAATTACTTCATTTGTCACCTTCCACAAAGTTGGGTAAATGCTGTAATACCTTATGCATTTTGGTTGGAATGCTCAGCTGCAACATGCTGTTTCTGAAAGCTGGCGAGGTCATCCTGTTTCAAAGGATTAGAGACACGTCCATGTGTTGTCAGGCAACAAAGTATTACTCAAGCACCTGCTTGAGTTACATGTAGTTGTTGGACTGAAATTTCTTGGAATTGAGTTTCTAATTCTATTTCAAACTCTGTTAAAATTACCTAAGTTTTTCCGCTTGCTTTTCTTTAAGCTCTGTTCAGCTTGTGTATGAAATTTCTTACGTAAGACATTTTTAAAAAAATTAGTCTTTTCTTAGTGTGAATTGGGGCTGTAACTTGTCTTTTGAAAGTGTAACTTCCATTGTTCGTTCTTGTTCATCTTCTTTATGCTGTTTCTGAATTGGTTTGTAAGCATGTTCACTTACTTCTGTGTAGTAAGGTTTCAATTCAATACAGTAAGAAGTTAAGGATGAGCAAAAGGGAGAAGGAGTATTGATGTAAGCTAACTAAGTTCTTTGAAAAGGTGGCTCAAAGTGCATCAAGTGTTAGCAATACTGAAATGAGTAATGTTTCTTGCAGGTGACAACTTTTATTAACTTTGAAGAGCTTTTGGGATAGAGCCTGATTTTTATTTTTTTTTTTCTTTGATCTCTTTAATATGTGGTTTTGGTTTTCAGGATGGATGAAGAGCCTTGCAAACTTTTGAGCTTTTGGGGGCTTTCAGGGGGGTTTTTTTGGTTGCTTTTGGGGGGGGGGGGGAGGGGGGATGTGTGGTTTTTGTTGTTGTTGTTGTTAGGGTTTTTTGTTTGTTTTGTTTTTCTCCTAGCCTGTGGAGTATACTAACATGGTAGAATTAAACTTGAGGTAAATTGTGCAGGGCAGGAGAGGAAGCAAAGCTTTCTACTCGTATATCATATATTTTATACTCATATATTTTACATGTATATATATAAAGTATTCCCCTACAAACTGTTCACATACAAATCCATTTCATATGCTGAGCACTCCTGTTTGTTCTTGTGTTCTAGGTCAATCTGTGGTGCTCCCCCAGCCCACTGTTGTACAGCTCCAAGCTTCTGGGGTGCTTCCTGCCTCCCAGCCAGTCGTTGCTATCACCGGAGGGACCACACCACTTCACAAACATACTGTGAATGCATTGCCTTCAGCTGCTGGAAATGGCTCAACAACTGGCAAAATAACAGTGACAAAGCCCTTGCTTCAAAGCACCACACCAGCAATGGGGCTGGATGTAAGTTCTGACTGCGTGACATAGCTAATAACCAAAGCTTGGAAACAGTTTTCAGTTACCTGCATGTGGGATTTAATGGGAAAACCAGGTCACTTCAGAATCACAGGAAGACTGAGCTATAGTTAGGCTTGTTAATATAGTTTCTAACAGTAAACAGGGAGTTCAGCAGCTTGGCAAAGAATAGGAAGGAATAATTTGATATTTGCTGGCCTGCCTGGAGTTGCACATCAGGTATGCAAGTGCTGTGGCACGAGGCAGTGCTGATACATTTTCCCTTCACTTGTTTTCTCAACAAGCTCTCAGTGACTGGAGCTCTCTTACACAGAGGAAGATTTGATATATCTGGTTTTTGATTAGTGCTAAACCAAATTTCTAATGCATATAATAAAACCATTTTTTGGAAGTAGATGAATCGGGAAGTCAGTAGTAGGCCTGATTCTTTTACCATCCCCTTCCAGAGTTTACTTGCAATTTTAAGACAATTCAGGTATTGAGTTTCATATGATTCTAATCTGTTCAGTCTGCCTTTTGATCATATCCTGAATTGAGTAGAAAAAGGGTAAGCTTTCAACAGTCACTGTGCAGATAAGTTTTTCCACAGTAGCTCACAGTAAGCAATAGATGTAAACAGAAACAGCTTTTGAGATATATGGGCTTTTTTTCACCCTTCAACTTTGATGTCTTAACTAGCTAGCAAGCTGGGTGTTAACTTGATTTAGTTCACAGAGATCTGGAGTTGCTTTGTTTGGATTTTGTTGTCCAAAAGAAGGCATGGTTGTGGAAAGCACTGAAGCTTCTTTGAGGCTTTTAGGCTCTCAGGGTTCCTCAGTGTGGTAAGCCAAACGTAGTTGTTGTGAGTTGGGGATCCTAACACATCTCTCTGTAAGGGAAAAAATACTGGTGCCCATTCACATGAAATTTTGCAGTATAGTCACCTGCTTATTAGCAACGCAGGGCATTGTTTCTCAAAGGAATGTGCTTTCTGGCTTCTTTGGAGGGATGTGGTTGTATGGTTTCCTAGTGTCTGAGAATTGCCATTAATGCTTGGATCTTAATTTTTCCTCACTATTCGTGTTTGTGTGCTGCATTTTTGAGCGAAAAAGTATTTGCTACAAGTAATTTGGTAGCTAGACTGCAGAGTAAACCTAGTCTTGAATTTGCAAGAAGCTAAGAAGTGTCCATCAGTAGATGGACCAGGTAAAAGTGCTGCGGTTTTAAATGATAATTGCCTGCCATGCAAAGCCAAACTAGGGACCCGTCAATAGTCATTAGGTTTGTGACTCCCATTATCAAGACTAGCATGGCACCCTGCCACTGTCTAAGGTTTAATTGACAAAACCCCCTTCTTGCCACCACACTTCATATAGACTTCTATGACAGTAGTAAAATGGATAGCTGGGGTACCAAATAGCTGTTTGTTTTGAATGATGGTAATGTATTTACACCTGAAGCTGTTTTAGGGACACGGTTTTCAGACTTAGTATTAGCCTAAATGCTGCACATCTTAGCTGTGTTTATTGAAACAGAACAAACAGTTGTGACTACTCTTTGGCGCATACTGAAAAATAGCACTTTGAAAAGAAACAAATGTTTTGGGATACAGATGGTGCCAGCAGGGTTAAAACATCTTGTGACTGCCTTAGATGCCATGTGTGTCTGTCAGAGCTGCACAGATGTAGCTGTCATTTGAGCTCTGTAACATGTGGTTTTGTTTGCTAATCTAAGCAGATATTTCAGGATAAAAAGAAACACTGCAGGACTTTCTTTTGGGCTTAGGAGGGATAAACTGGTATCTTTAAAACTCAGCCCTTCCAGTAGCTTAGGCTGAGATTGGCTGATAGCAAGCTGTGAGGCCCTGTGTGTTGCTTATCCTGATGGTACACATTTACACAGCTTGCCAGCCATGGGGAAGTGCCAGGCTTTCGCTGGGGTCATTCTTCACTAGGAAACTGGTTAAGAGATTTCCACTAGGAAATGGGGCAAAAAAAAGCTGCCTAAGCAAGCCATGCTTCTGGTAGAGGGAAAGAGGCACTTAACTGAAAAAGCAGACTGCCTTTCTGTTACAATTGTGTGATAATGAGGGCATAAACAGTAGGTGTGTGAGGGCATTCAGTTTAGCTGTCATTGCAGGGCCTTTCTGTCATGTTTCCACTCATGGATCTCACTCATGGAGAAAGGATTTAATTCTGACCTCCAGTTCTGGTGATGAAAAGTTATTGAAAATGTGGTAAAAATTAGGTTATGGAAAACTACTTCAACATAGGTGTGGATTTCTATTAAAGAATCCTGCTTTCTGTGCAATACATTGGGTCATTTTCATGTGAAATAAAGCTCATTAGTCAAGTTGTGTTCTGTTGAGTTAGAGACAGGAAACCCTCATCTTTCATGAGAACAGAGAAAGCACTGCATAGGTTTTGTATGCCTGCATTTAAGACACATTGTGGAAGATGGCAGTTCTCATAAGTGAAGATGCCAGCCAATGTAAAGTTGAAATGGTTTGTACTCTCAACTGTTACTTAACTTCCCCACAAAGTGTGTACCAAAACCTGTGGAGTGTGAAAGACGTTCCTAGCACCTAGTGCCAGAAATGCAGGTTGTTTTGGAATGGAAGTTAGATTTTTGCTCGGAACTGGAGACAAAGGGCAGTCATGAGGGAAGATAATGATGAGAGAGGAAAGGTGGCCATGAGGGGAGATTGTAAGGGAGGAGGAAGGGTGGCCACAAGGGGAGATTGTGAGGGAGATGATGAGAGGAGAGGAATGGTGACCATGAGGGGAGATTGTAAGGGGAGAGGAAGGGCAGCCATGGAGGGAGATTGTGAGGGAAGAGGAAGGGTGGCCATGAGGAGAGATCGTGAGGGGAGAAGAGGGGTGGCAGAAGGGGTGAGTGGCATTTGTGAGGGGGGAGCAAGGGCAGCCATAGGATGTGAGGGGAGCTCATGAGGGCAGAGCGGGGCAGCCATGGGGCATGAGGGGTAGGGGTGGCAGCTACACCTATACAGTGTGGGCCACTAGGGGGTGCAGATGAGGAGTGGCTGCGTGGAGGTCATGCAGGGCAGGGATAAGGGGGGATCTTGAAGGGAGATCACTTTGCCCTTAGTGACATGGCTTAGTGGTGGGCTTGGCAGTCCTGGGGTGATGGTTGGACCGATGATCGTAAAGGTCTTGTCCAACCTAGTTGATTCTGTGATTCTGTGAAGTAGCAGTTTATTTGTAAATTGCATGAGTTTGTAAAGACTGAAGACAGGACAATCTGAATATAGTTGGTACTGTTTGAAGTAAGGTTTTACAACAAACCTTTTGCTTCTTCATGTAGCCTGTAAACTGGTGAATGGTAAACTAAAGGTGAAAGACATTCTTGCTATGTTGCAGACCTGAAGATATGTATTTTCTGTCCTTTTTGATCAGCTACTTGAGTGTACATTTGGTGTCCTCCACACAAGAAGTTTAAGAATGCAGGAGAAAACAGACAGTGCAGGACCTGTTTTTTCATGTTTTTTCCATGAGCTGTAACTTCAGGAGATGTACTGTGATTCCTAGTTGCCTCTGTGCTGAACATTTCAGCTCATTTAAAGCAGAGGGCGGAAAGCTATCTATGCAGACTTTTGCCAAAGTAGAGGAGCAGACATTATGCGTGAAATAGAGGCACTTTAACTTGTGTATCATTAACAGGCTTCTGTATTTTCTGTCCAGGTCAATGTCTTGAGACGGCAGCAGCGCATGATCAAAAACCGTGAGGCAGCCTTTCAGTCACGGAAAAAAAAGAAAGAATACATGTTGGGGCTGGAGGCGAGGCTGGAGGCAGCCTTGCTGGAGAACGAGAAACTCAAGAAAGAAAACAGCACACTGAAGAGGCAGCTGGATGAAATAGTATCAGAGGTAAGAGACTGTGATGAAGATCTGACTTTATAGGAAGTTGTTCTAGTGGAAGTTCCATGTAAACAGAATCATGGATATGTTGATTGGAAGACCTTTGGGGGTTTCTAGCCCAGCCTCCCTCTCCAAGCAGGACTTTCACCAACTCTAGGTCAGGACAGCTATCACACTATCTAGTTGACTTTTAATTCATTATTTCATGGTTCTCCTGAAGATTTTGGTGAGCAGATAGACTGACTGGAAGCTGAGTGTAATGTACAAACAAAGAGAGTTCTATTTTTAAGTTGTCCTCATGTGTATTCATACACAATTAGGCAAATATCAATCTAAAAAGCAAGCATAGTTTGCTGTATTTAGCTTTTGACACACCTTTGCATGCTTGTGCCCCTTTTTTATTGCATGTCTTCTCTTATTTTTTCCTGTCTAGAATGAGAAGCTCAAAGTGTCATCTCCAAAGAGAAGGACCCTGTGTGTGATGGTTATACTGGCTTTTATAATGTTGAATTATGGTCCATTGAGGTAAGCTGTGTAGGAATTACTCTTCACATAGCAAGTTTGCTGTCTGGTGATTTTTGCTTGAATCTTTAATACAGGCAGTGTTATATTTTAAAGCCTTGAGCTTGAAACCTGACTTCTGTCTTTTACTCTCCTCTTGCATAGCGGAAGCCTCATCTGTATAATGGTTCCTCTTCTGGAATCCTTCTGGCAAAAAGAGCTAGATCTTGTACTTTTAATTTCTTTTGGCTCAGCATTTTGCCAATCAATGCAGTGTACAGCAGTTTGTCTGCTCCATTTATCCCTGAAGAGATTAAAGAGCCGTGTTTGTGACTTTTTTCCCTAAAAGGATTTTAGACTTTGAGAGCCCGTCTGCTTGTTTATACCTATGCTACTCCCAATAGCTATGAACTTAAGCTGCTTCTAGCTCCCAGTGCTGGAAATCCCACACTTTTTCCAGTGCTTTGCAATCCTGACCATTAGATGTATCTAGGCACAGTCTCCTCGTTACAGTGTAAGCCCTGTATTACTTGTCTTCTTGATCTGGTGAAGAGGTTGACCCCTCTCCTTAATTAGTTGCAGTGGTACTCAAAAACCTCTCTTGTTTGAACTGTATCAGAGGGTGATAGGAACCAGAGAACAGGGAGGAAATACTGCATTTCTTCCCAGACAATTTATAAAGAAATCTATGGAAGAGAGGAGATTAAAGATGGATACTTCTTGCACAGATCTGTCTATTTAACCTGGATTTAGAACATAAAGAAGAAACCGTTATAGGAAGCTGTTTACTTTTTCAAAAGGGGAGGATATTTCAGTATATTTCAGTATATTCCCAGTCAGCAGTGTCTCCATTTGTCCTCAAAACCCCAGTCAGTCTAAAGGAATGGGGTGGGATAAATCTGGAGGAAGACTTTATTTATGACTATAATAATTTTTACAATGTTGGTGTTTGTATTTTTAATAATATTAGAAAATTTGTGAATGCTGAAATGACTTTCGAAGTATTTGCACTTACTGCACATACTGTTTACCTCAGACAGTGAAATACAACTGATAATTTTAGCTTGATGTGAATGCTTTTAAGATAGACCATTTCCTAATGCATTTATGTTTTGTATTGGGACTTTTTGCTATCAGGTAGAAAAATCAGCTTCCAGATACTAAATGATGAATTTGTACATCCCAATTGCGTTTGCAGGCATTACCACTCACTTGAGAGACACTTCGTGAGAACTATTAGAACCACTAATCTTTTTGAAGCTGAAACAAATTCTAGTTGCCCCCACATTACAGTGAGGAGTTGGAATGTATAAAGCTCTTGCATAGTTTTGAGAGGCTTGGAAACATAGAGAAGGTGGTGGAATTGTTTTACCACAGTGCTCCAAAGCTCCTGTGTCAGCTTCAGTACCCCCAGGAATGAGTAAGGTTTTGAGCTTAATGGCAAGGAACTGCTGTCTTGTTAGACCGAAAGGACTGTGTTCATATCTCTGCAACAGTTCGTGACTGTAGAAATGTGACAGGGTTAGTTTCTTGATGTATTTGGTGTTTAATAAAGTAGATAAAGCAAAAAAATTCTTGTATGTCTGGCTGTTTCTGGCTGGTGTAGTATCTGAGCATGCCAGTGTAATTGCTGTGCCTGAACTAGGTGGTCTGTGTCAGTACTGGCTTCAGACAGTGAAGAGAAATGTAATTTCAAATTTGCAAGGAATTACTCTTTCTGCCTTTTTTTTTTTTTTTCCCCTTAGCAGAGTAAGTGCTTACACTCAGTTGAAACACCAGACTGTACCAAGGTGCTGTGAATGTTGGTTGTGCAATACCCTTCGGATGGCCCAGAATATGGGATATGCAAAACGTTACTTAAGATTTCACTCTCATATGAATTTACATCCTTTTGTAGAGGTGTCACTGAATGGTAGCTCCATGAATGTGATAGCCTTGATTCTTGTTCTGCTTAGACTTTAATAACAGAAGCTTACAATACGTGATGTTTTTCAGTCCCTGCAACTGCTTACAGAAAGAATTAAATTTTTTTGTTATAATTTCCATGCTAACTTATAGTTCAGCAAAAGTGCTTTCCCCCCAAGTCAGCTACCTATGGAATACCTGCTTTCTGTGCAGTGGTCAACGGGAGATAAATATGATTTGAAACTTTGTGACAGTGTTGCCATTTCTTCTATGTAAGGAAATAATTTCTCTTGCATACCTGTGTGGAGGGAGGTGTGCTAGTACTCAGGCACAGGATGTTTTGATTCAAATATATTAGCAGTGAATATTTTATTATTTAAAACCAATTAACCATTGCAAAGACAAACATCCCCAAAAACCAAGATCATGGCAAATTCACCCCCTAAATTCTATAACAGACTTTGAAATTCCCTTGGCTGACCCTATTGTGAGGTATGTGTCTGATTCTTAATTGGAAATGAAAGGATTCTTTGAAGGCTAGAGGTGATACAAAAGAACAGATAACATGAGTTTTCTCTTGAGTTGCTTAGTTCCTGCAAATCACAGAAGGCAGGGAGGTGACTGTGCTGTTTTGGGATGGGGATGTGAAGCTGAGAGTCCTGCAAACCCTCTGTGGCCTGCAGTAGTTCAGTAGAGGTGCAGTTGGCATGCAACATGAAAAATATCATTTGGATAGTTGGCTGTGTAGTTAGTTCTATATTTTCTTGTACTTTAATTGGACGTGTATTGCAGTAACAATGGCTCACACATATTTTGTTCTTTGATCTTAAGCCTTGCTGACTGTGTATGTAACTGGAGAGATGTGTGTGGTATTTCATGGAGGACTGAGGCTGTGCTATTCTGCTTTAAGATTATGGGAAACAGGTCAGGATGTGGCAGCCCTCGGCACACAGGTAGAGCAGATAAAACTATTTCTGCTGACACATTTTTTCATGCTGACAAATATGCTGTGTGTGTGGGTAATCTGTAATGTTGAACTTGTGACTATGGGAATGGGGCTGAAAGTCTGGTAGGGAAGCTGGTGTATTGACCTGAGAAACCTATTTCAAAATATTGGAGGGAGAGTCCAGTCCCGTCTGCTTAATTGCCAACAAGCTTTTAAGAACATTCTGTGGTGTTAAGACATGGTGCCATGTTATCTCTGAGAAAAGAATGTAAGTTGAATGAAATATAAGTGGAATATGAATACAGATTGAATACTTTCTGGTTGTGAAAGTGGCTTGTGTAAAGTTAATGGTAATTCTTCATTATGTTGTACTGTGTGCTAAACTATTCTGGGTGTGTTGATATTTTGTATAGAAAACTGAAATTTTCTGTTATTAAAAGCAGAAATAATTTAGCAGGAATTCTATTAGTGTAAGTTTCTATTTTATCTATTTACTTTATACTAGGAGAAGGGTGCCGAGGAATTTCCCCTGTGTGTCAGTGAACTATTCTCTAATCTTTGTGAATTATTTGGACTTGGATTTAACATCTATAAAACCTTCCTTTTATTATTATTTAAGAATGATTGGTGAGGTGTATGAAAGGAAAAAGCTAAAAACATTTTGATTCAGTTGCTTGCAGAGGTCACCCCCTTGCTCCAGTCTTACATATCATGCGGTGTAGAACAGAAATTAGAACCCACAGTATTTGCACAAAAGGCAGTGAACATGAACCTCAGCATGCAGCTGGGTTGGGAGCTGGAGCCATGATATGTCTGGAGGCAGGTATCTGGGAGGCAGCATCTCCTGCCTTCAGACTTAGCTTCTGTGAGAGCTGGTGTGCGTCAGCATAGCTGCGTTCTCAGCTGTTGTGGTGCTCCTGAGGTTGCTGACTTGTAGCATTAAGAAACATCTAATTAGCTGTGCATTTATTTATTTTTTAAGTGCTTTCAACATGCAAACTGAAAGTTTTCTAGCTATTACAATTCCTAGATGCTGGTTTTTTGTTTGGTTTTTTTTTTCCTTGTTTAATTTCCACATTTGTGTTGGACTGTGCCTGGGTAGTAACCAGACCTGAAAATGAATTAAACAAGCACAAACAGGGCTGAAACAAATGAAATGTAAGCACATGTTCTAGTCTAAACAATCCATGTATTTATTTTGGGAATATTTTCCTTTTCTTTCTTTTCCTTTTCCCCATTTGAATATAAATTTTCTTGGGTGTTTGGGTTTGGTTTTTTTTAATGCAAGTCCTATATGTGATAGTAAAGTATTTTCAGGAGCTAACCTAACTAATGTGTAAAAAGTAGGCAAGGAGAGTGATCACAGAAGATGCAGAACAACTTTTCTGCATCTCTGGTACTTGGGGCAGCAGCAGCAAAGCATGTAAGTCACATACTTGCTTAGTGGCCCTTGTGTTACTTTCATGGCTATGAAAACTGTTCACCTAATTATTTTCCCCTTTAATCAGTCTGTTCAATCTTACATGGTGGTCATCATCTAACAACAGTCTTAAAGCATTTATGAAGATGTCAGCCAGCCAGAATGTGTCCTACCATTTCAGATACTTAGTGGACAGAAAACAGAAAAATACGAAGTTGGAGAGAGGAAAGGCAGATCTGCAAAGAGAAGGTTGTGTGATTTTTTTAAATTAATTTTGAGGGGGTTTTTTTGGTTTGTTTTTTTTTTTCTTACAAGTTGGCCACCTCTGTATGGCTGGAAACCCTTTCAAATTAGAAAACAAACTTCATGATGTAACAAAAAATTCTTAAGCTGAGTGGTGACTGATGGAGCTAAGTAAAGCTGCTGCTTCAAAATCTCTTGTGTTCTGCTGACCTACAGCAGCTGAACTGGAATTGCTGCCCTTTTTGTAGATACTTCCTTGCAGCTCCTCTCTACAGTATCCTGATAGGTTTTCTTTTACTTTCCAGGACTATCCTAGAAACTGAATGGTCTATTAAAAATTTACATCCACTGAGCAATCTGCAAATAAAGACACCAGCCTGGGTAGCTGAGAAGCGTGCTTCGTGTGCTGTTGTTGTAGACTGCAACAAATGAAGCAGCAGTGCTTTTTTTACTCCTGCAAGACTGTGTGTGATCAATTTCTTAGATTGGTAGCACAAATATTAGAACAAA